TTTTATTATTTATGCGAAGAATTTCAGAGTCTGGTGACAAACCCACAGCTGCTGCTTTGATCCTCCTCTCCCCTAACAACAGGGTCACCGCGGCAGAAATGCGCAGGGTGGGAATTTCTACTTTCGCTCTTGCTGACACAAATCAAATGCAGGTTTCTCAAGCTGTGAAGTATATTAAGTTCACAGAGTTTTAACAAAGGGCTACCAAGCCACAGAACCCCACTGCGAGTCACACTTCTTTCAGATGTCCTTTTAATTATATTAAACGAAAGTTTGGGGCACTTTGATGCTGATGGGCAAACATCTCGATCTCTTGGAAAAGCTGCTAAAAGTACTCCCTGTAGCTATAGTTAATATACGACATTGTATACACACTGCTAGCCAATTTATTCCAGCCACTTTAACAACGATACCTCGCCTGACAGGCCGCGCAGAATAGCATCAGGAGTCGAGCAATGCGCAAATCATTAGAGGACTCTGAAAGTTGTCTGACACACACTGCAGAGCTCTTTGTCATACAGCCAATTAAGTGACCAAACAAGGAACTTGAAAATCCTCATTAATTTGCCCCTTTCTAAATGCAGGTTAGAATCCTTCTTGTCACAGGCACAACAAGAACACAAGTAAACGCAGCGTAATTCAATTTACTCTCTCTCTCAGAACTTTCTTTCGTTTATTCTTTGTGGAAGTTGGGATCAGCCATGCAAGCAAGAGAGAAGTGGGACAAACAGAATTAATCCACTTTAAATAGTACTGGCTAAGTCCCAGATGCACCTTTTATCTGCTGAGAGCTACTAGGTTAGCAAAGAAAAAAAGAAGTCTCTTCTACTCAGCTCTAAACTTAATGCCTTGAATCCTCTGAGGAAAGCCTTTCATTTTTTGCTTAGTATAGCAATTCAAACAGCCCATGTTACAACAGTGAAGCATTCAGAAAACTTCCAGAAGAACCAGAAGGACAACTCTGACTGCAATCACCTGCCACTATCTGCTGCTTGGAACCTGGCAGTAGCTCAGCTCTGGCATCATTAGTGGCTCCCATGACACCTGCACCCAGAAGCTCTTGTGATCTTCATGAGGCAGGTGGCACCTCCAAAATCTTCACTATTTGCTGTACAGATAAGCCCAGAATTACAGAACAGGGAAAGCAGATTCACAGGACAGCTTAGAGGATGTCAGAAAACAAAGCAGCAAACAGCACTGGGCCAGAAAAACGCCACAAAAGAAATACTCTGCTGCCTCCTTCCACCCTTCCCACAAAGCTGCCACTCAGTCTATCTGTTATAGTCACCAGCCTCCGGCCTTGAAGCCACCAAGACTGGCTTTAAAAAACAAATTAAAAAAAAAATCAAAACACAAAGAAGGGGAATCCTGTGAAGATTTTGTCTTCTGAGAGCTGCATCCCAAATGCAGCACCCAAGATCACATGGGAAGAGGCTGTTGGCTGGGACTGAAGGGAAATTCATTGGCCTCATGAAGTGCCAGAGCTTCACCCCCCGAATCCAAGCAAAGCAAGGAGGTGAGCTCAGATTTTGCAATCAGGTGCACACATGTGATAAAAATGATCTGAACACCCAGATGAGGTATGAGCCTTTATTAAGAGCATGTGATTCCAGCTACTAAATCTTAAAGCAAAATCTTCTAATTTTTTCCCTGTGTTTTAAGTTTTCTGTGTTAATACGGCCTCGCTTATTGCAATATCTGAGTACTCAGCCTTTATTTTTTCTTTACTACCCCATCTCTGTTGCCAGAGGCCAGGGGAATTATACCCATGGCATCTGAAGTTGGGGAAATGAGAAACAGTTAGCCCACGTCACTTGCTGAAGGGGCATGGAAGGAACCTGTGACACCAAAACCAGTTTCACAGCCCCCAAATGACAAATGTTTCATGCTTTCTACATCTCCAATGCTTCAGTTTAAGTAGAAATGCTTTTGGAAAATGAACAAATATCAATTCTGAAAAAAAACCTCCAGAAAATTCATACCAGCTTACGTCACACACCAGCCACCACATGAAGCTATGCTAATCAAATATGTCACCCACTGTGACTCATTCTCCCACACGATGACTTTTCTATTCCTTTCCCAAAATAGAGCGCAAGAACAGTGCACTGTAGAAAGGTGGGCATGAGAGATGTAGATCTCTGCTCTGCAAAAAGCCTCGCGTCGGCTTCAAGCTCTCCTTAGCTCATGGAGCACCCTTCTGAGGCCACTCACTCTATCTTGAATCTTCACCTTGGTCAGCCCAGACTAAGTTGACTCTTAGTATCATGAATTAAAGCCCATGTGGCAAATTCTTAGACACCATCGTGATTGAAAAATCTGCCAGCCATTGTCCAGTCTTTATACTAATACATATTTATTGTACCACTTGTTGGATTCGTTCTTGTTTGATTTTTGAGACAAAAACGATCATTTGCCACATTTGCAACTACAAGAGCAGCAACTGTAACCTCTATCTCCAGTAAATAAAATCCCTGAGCTTTAGTTCAACAAATATTCTGATAGTGCACAAATTAAATCATTATTTGTTTCAATCAGAGAAATGAGATGATAATCTGATATGGCATTCCCAGTCTCATATTTGAGTAAGTCACAAAATTTCCAGATCCATTTTACATACTTATTTATATTTGTTGATTTTGGGCTCAAGAGTACCTCACACTCTAATCGCTACATGGGCTCTACCATGGCTACTGAAATTTGTCAGCCCAAAGAAAACAGAAGAGCTGATTTTAGCAGTTATTATCTTCTCAACCACCCTCCTCCTCCCTAAAATCCACCTTTCTCAATTTTGAAATTTACAGTTGCTGGACATCTCTCATGTAAACTTTGTACTGCAATTTCCTTTGTCTAGGCAGCACAGAACTGAAAGTGAACTTCCAGCTCTGTGAGCCAAATTCAACACGGATGCTTTGCACAATAATGGGATCAGCACAAGGAGATCATGTCAGGAAGGTTGAAAACTCTATTTCTCTGTCATCAGTGGTATATTTCTCAGTGACTTTGCATCTCCCATTGAATTCACAAAGTTCAGGATTTCATCATCTAGGTTTTGTCGAAAAATCTCTGCTTAATCCAGCTCAGACATTTCACTGCCTGGTAACAGGGATATCTCCAGGCACATTTAATTGCTATTACAGACAAACTCTCCCCCACAACATTTTTTGATGACTTTAGCTACAGGATTTTCCAAATGGAAACATCCTGTATGAAAATATGTCCAGATACATTACTTTACCTCCATGTTATACAAAGCAGACCTGGAAAGGTTCAATTAGGTCATCTAATTCATTCTTCAGGCCCTCCATTACAGGACTGCCCTCCTCAATATATTTACTAGCTTTATCCATATTTATATAAACAGCTCAGGCAATGAGCTTTCATCAGTTTTTTTCGTCTACTAAAGAGGTAGACACATGATTAATGTTTAAACACACAAGTAGCCTTTCCAAGTGAAAGGGAGGAAGTCCTTGAAATTAAGGGTAAACTGAAGTTTGTGCAGAATATTCAGGCTTTATTCTACCAATGCCGATCTTTCTGTTGAGTATATTAAACTCACTATTCTCTACTGTTTGAAAGATGACAAAAAGACCAGAAGCATGCATTGACTTTGTAGAGTATGCCTGTGCAGCCAGCAGGAAGGAGAACTATGGGTCAGTTAGCAACCAAGGTGCCCAACAGGATCCTGCGGTCCGTGGTCAAACCATGTTTCCCGTGGAGCCCATAGACAAGACAGCTAGCTTGGGAGTGAGTGTTGCACTATAAACTTTCCTAAATTCCTTCAAATATTAGTTACTTTCTCTGGCATCTTAAGAGAAGTTACTCCAGACGAGGGATGTGTAACCTCATAACTCATCTTTACCTGTTTATGAAAGGGAAAAGGTGACTTTGTTTCATGACCATATCCAAAGGCAAGACAGGCAGCCTCCCAGCACAGAAGGGTACTGTTCTGTCCTGTTTTTAATGTTCTGGAAATCTAAACAATCTAATTCCACACACTAAATGAAATATGCACTCACAAAATAAGGCCAGTATCAACTGTGGCAAGTTGAAATTTGGAGGAAAATTCAGGTATAGAGAACTCCTTCCAGAAAAGTGGGGTTCATTTTTACACCTCTGCATGTTACACATACACATACAAATAATGATCAACCAGCCATAAGTACAACATCAATATTCATAAGCACGAGACAGAAATTGGAAGGTAAAACATTCACATTTCTTAAAGCAGCATTAATTCACCCATAGTATACAAACAGGTTTATATAAAGTCACTGGAGCAAACGCTATAAGGCAAGGTGACAGGATAAATAACATCACCCGAGGCTCCACTCTTGAAAAGTCTGCAAGTAGGTCTTTCTAAAACGCTGGGGCTTGACTTTGTTCATGTAAAACACAATGTAAGTCTACAAAAGTTGGGCCACAGCTGGATGAACTTTATGGGGCATTATGTTCCTAATCCTATATTTAGTTTGCAGCACTTTCCTCCTTCCTACATCCCTCCGCGAGGACACTCTGCATTTCATTACGATCCTACATCCTCCCTCATGCTGAGTGTTGCCATTTCGAATTGTTTCTAAATTTGCAAGTGTAAGAAGGGAAGAAAGAAAACTAAGGAAATGCAGGCGGCAATTATATGAGTGACATGCTGTAAGCAAAACCCAGCCGGTGTGGAGACACTTTTGCGAGCAGGAGTTCTGCATTCTTTACCTGCACACACCCATACTGTGCTGCTTATTCCGATGGCCGGAGGAGTCCTGTCAGATTTCTCCTGTGTTTTTTTTCCCCACTTTCTGACTCAGAGATTTTGCCCCAAATTTTTGTCAAGTCTGAGAGCAACTGGGCAGGTGGGGGAGACGAAGAATGAAACTATTATCCTGTAACCTTAACCTTAGAACTTGCTGCCACAAAGACGGGAATAACCACATTATTCACAAAGACCCACTTCACAGTCATTCAGTCAAACAACTGGACATGTGTATTAAAAACACAAGAAATACCTGGACATAGGCCCTGCAAGAGCGCTCCCTTTTCTGAAGCTGAGTCCATAAAGACAGCAGATTAAAGACAGAATAGAAAAAACAAGTTAGTGACAGAACAAGAGAAAAAAACTTTCGAAGAAAACGCCTATGAAAAAACCACCTCATTTCTCTCTTAAACAGCTCCTGAAAACCAACCAAACCAAAGGAAGCATGCAAGTTAGGCAGCAGTGGAAAGCTGGAAGGACTGGCTCCAGAAATGTGGGTTAGTCCTCTCTCAGTGAAGTAAAGCACAGACTGGCAACTTTGCAAGAGCAGCTGTTAGATGGTAGGAAACACTGAAGTCAAGTAAAGATGCTCATGAGATGACATTTTCCTTACAGCCTGAAGATCACACATGGTATTTCCACACCAAACAAGGATGGAAAGGATGGGGCTGATGAGCATTTACATAAGAGGAGCGTGGGCTCTGCAGTCAGACAGCACTGACGGCACAGTGAGGCAAAACCAAGCTTTGGATGAGCAGGAGCGATTACAGGGGGTAAGATGCATGCCGGACTGCATCCTGACACAGGGTGGACCTGTACGAGCCCATCCTGATGTATCTGCTCAGGTCTCTGACTCAAGGCAAAACCTAGAGCTCTTCAGCTTCACTGCTGTGAGCTTGCTTAAAGCCATCTTAGGCACATGTCGAGTGTGGCAACACATTGCACTGTCGGCGAGAGCGTTGCCTGGGGCTGCCGACAGCGTAAAGGGCCACTGAAGAGGATGTAACAATGAAATGTGAACCTGGTGCAGTATTTCCAGTTGAGGCCATTCTCTCCCCTTTGGATCACTGTATCCTCAGGAATGCATTTGTCAGTCCTCTCATACAGAGTTGTGCTTCCCTTTGTAACTCCTGGGTCCAAAAGCTTTGTATGCTGAAAATCTTTCCCATAAAGCATCCCACCTTTTCCATAGAGAAAAAGGTGTTTAGGATTGCACTTTGACATGCACTTGCATGCCTCCTGTCTGATAACCGCACTTTAACGTGTCACAAAATTCAAACAGGCACTCCTTTACCTCCCTGAGACTTTGCAGGCAGCCTGCAGCAGGGAACTAAAATGGTGAGCCCTGCATCAGGGCAACTACCTGTGCAAAATAAGGCTGCTCAGAGTCACTGGCTTGGCTGGGTTTGTTTTTGCTGATGTGCTTGGGTTGGAAATTGCATATCAATATAGAGATTCGAGGTAACTGGTGCTCTCAACTCACAGCAGTTCTATCCCATTAGTACAGCTGAGAGCCAAATTTGTCCCCAAGAGTTTTGAGGCTCTGAAATAAACAAAATACACCCAGGTATCAAGCAATACCTAATTTCAATTTCTAATTCATCAATTTGTAACAGTAGAAATCTTCCTCTGGGTAAACTTGGCCAGCAAGAAGACTTCACAGAAACAAATGGAGATCAAAGAAAGCCCTGCTGAAAATTACAGAGCTATCCACTCGGGGGTCTTGCCAGTATGCAATAGAACAATTATTACCTTAATTAAGCCTGATCCAGTGGAAAGCATAAAGCTTTTAGGGACAGGAAAGTGGCTCCAGAAAGATGATGGCTTTTAAAAATTCTGATTATGTCAGTTTATTTCAATTCATTATACATCAGCTTGTAAAAAAACCCAAACAACAAAACACCAAAAAAATCCAGTACAAAACAGCACAGGTGATTACTTGCAGATCCCCCACACATTTCCTTTAATGATTAAAAGAATATTTAATGGCTAGTGCTTACTTTATTTCTTCTTTTTGACTAAACAGTACTACACAAAAAAGGCTGCAAATGACTTTTTTTCTTTTTTTTCTTTTTTTTTTTTTTCCCAGAAATACTCTTGATCAGCGAAGGGGAAAATGGAGCAGTAACTCTGCTGCCTTTTGTTTGCCCAATACTACTTCCAAGTTGAATTCATGCATTCTTAAATGAACACAGAGCAGTTGCTCTTCTAAAGAATTAAGTGGGGAATGAGAGCAAGTAAATTACCGAGCCTGTCACTTGGATCACTGACTCGCATCGCTGTTTTGCAGGACTCCACGCTGTCCAGAATTTTAATGCAGAGCGCAATTGATTTGTATGAGCTGCCTGTGCAAAGCTGATGGCACGGGGGGGAAACCTGCAAGGGGGACCCCAGGAATGACAGCGGAGCTGAGGAGCTCTGCCTTGCTGTCTTCCCCTTCCCTTGGTAACTCACACCCGTGCTGTGAAAACAACCCCATCTCATGTACCTGAAACAAATATCGGAAAGTGGGATATAAAAAGATGTGCTTGCAAAACTGTAGTGACAAAACGTTGGCTGTGGCTAGGGCATATTCAGAAGCAAGCAGACTACAACCATGAAACTCGTTAGTAGGTGACATTAATTGCTGGTTTTACCTGATAATTGTCAGACATCACTATCATTTCAAACAAAAAACCATGGTAGGATTATAACAAATAATGTTATGCTGATGTAACAGTTAATACAATTATTACCTATATTGTTATGAAATAGCTGGAAGCAGCACTAATTAAAAGCATCAGGATAACCCAATTCACAGCACATGCAAAGCACATGAGACACAGGATTTCAATTCCCATGCGGCTCTAATCTTAAACAATCCAGAGGTCCTTTGCATTTAAAACACTGTAAGTCTACTATAATAACTTACAAGAAAAAAGACATTGTTACTTCTCTGAAAAGTATTTCTCTTCAGAAGACACACAAGAAATTTCAGGCTTAGCTGGGATCATTTATTCAACTCATAACCTTGGGATCAAGTTCTATTCTCAGTTACAGATGCCAGCTACATAGCTGAGAACAAAATTCAGTATATTATTTCAATTGAGTGGCCAATATAACCATGTGCTCACAGCCACAGGGTTCAGCTGCAATTTGTTGTGATGATCAGGCCTGCACAATTCACCATCTGAATCCTTTATAAGACCTATCCCACGTGTGTATGTGAGATTCAGTGATGAAGGCAGCCTCGGATCAAGGAAAACCTCAACTTTAAATGTATTCCTACAGATCCCGCAGCCTCTATTTCTCCCCACAACTGGCAATTTCTATCACCTTTGGTATATACCAATTCCATGTAATTCTGGAAATGGCAAAAGGATTAATAACTCTTCTCAAACAGCGGGCACAGAAACCACACTGTCATCATGCAGTAAGGTGCTTTTGGGTTAAGTCACGGATCATCACTAATATTAAACTATCCTGAAATCCTTAAGTGTAAATATGTGCCTTTGGAAAACATATCTCCAGTGTAAAGAAATGTTTCTGTCTGCTTTTGTTTATATCCATGCATAATAGCGTTAATATGAGCTTCACATCAGCATTCTGTAACAATGCAAGATAAAAAAAGCAAAATCCAGACTCTCCCTGTCTCTTGGGGTGTTAAATATTCAGATTTTCTGGATCATATTACCTGGCATTTCACAGACAGATTCAGTGTTGGAAACACTGGACAAAATTCTGGTCTCATTCACACTGGCACAAGTCCAAAATAATTGCCATGGCATCACTTGAGATATTTTCACACTGAGCTACGAGAGCTGAGACGACAATGAAGTACCTAGAGTTCATATACCTACACATCTAAGGGTATACATTTCCCAGCACCAATAGTACACTTGGCATTTACAACTGTTTCGTTTCTCAGCAGAATAAAATAGACTGTAAACGAAAAACTGCCAGGTACTCTTGTTGACTATGAAAGAATCACTGCCCTAAAATGGCAGTCATTCCGAAAACCCCTTTATAATAGTTCCCCAGGGAGAGCCAAACCCTTTTTCAGTCTCCTGTCCCTTCCCGAGGTCTTTTATTTTTACCTTATTTAAGCTGCGTGCAGCACTGTCCTTCCCGCCCGGAGTCAGGTTTCGGAGCTGCACGTCAAGCAAGTTCACCAGCTGGACCATGGCGGACACAGAGTACGCGATGTCACCAGCGTACAAGTGGTTTTTTGTGTGCTCTGCAAGCTCCCGGGCAATGTTGGCAGCCATCTCCCCGGACTTCATCTGCAATAGAGAAAGCAGAGGAAAAAGTTATCTCCAGGTGTTACTGTGACGTTACTCCAGTCCTTTCCAGCTCCACAGTGTTAAGTCAACTCACCGCACGAAGAAGAGAAGAACAGAAGAAGTTCCCAAGAAGATCAAGGCTTGATCATGTACAAGGTTTGAGCATGGTTTAAATGCAAGTGTTTTTTCCAGCTACATGTCACCACGCTGGCTTCAACGTGATTTCTGATCTCACAGGGCACTGCTGGAATTGAGGGGCATTTGCTTTTTGGCACTGCAGCAGACACAACCAATGATGGCATTGTTTTGCATGGAATGCCCATGCTACGGAGGGCTTCAGTTAGCTTGACCTATTGCCTTATCTATGCAACTTGAAAGAAAACCCACAACAAACCAAGTAACTAGTCTTCCCTGTTGAGAATGAGTGGTTTCTGATTTTAGAAGGTTATCTGGCAGTGATGTTTTTTGTTAGAACTCTGGCGCAAAAAAACCCTTACTTTTAAAAGGAAGAAAACTAGGTGACGCAATCCAGGTGAAGAAGAGAAAAAAAAATCACAAATCTCATCATGTGGATTTAATAACGAGGCGCTAATTTACCACACAGCATTTGCACACAGAAGATGGGCTCCTTACCACCACTAGCCACTTACCAGCACTAGCTCCTTACCACCACTGTTATGAGGCTGGTGATTCCCAGCACACAGAAGCATGCTAACTCAGGAGCAAAAGGCTTAAGGCTTCAAGCAGAGGCCTGCTGGGAGGGAAAACAAGTAGGCTTTTCGGATGAATCTTCTATTAAAAGACTTCTCTTGTGTAGTTGAACCATAAAACTCAGGAATCACCTCCAGCAAAATTCAGTGTGAATTATTTGGGAAACTCTTGCTTTCCCCCTGTGGCTTTCCCCCTCTTTCTTGCTCTCTTTTGTTCTCCCTACACCTGGTGCCTCTTTTCTCTTCCATGTCATGGAGATAGGGGATAGAGCAGCTGGTCCCATCTCCTTTCTACGAGCAGCTCACTATAAAAATACTGTAGCAGGTTGCTGCTCTTTTCTTTGTTATATACCATTCCATGATTTGGAATGCATATCTATAGGGAATGTGCCATGGATAAGGAGAAACTACGTAGGATGACATTTAAATGAAGCTTCCATTTCTCCGTCGGGCTCAATGACCAACTCTGATGGGTTCTTCATATGAAATTTCTAATTGTGTTATCTTCCAACAGTCAGAGATCAGATATTTCTCTTGTTCCCTCAATTTCTGGTGCTTATTATAAAAGTGAGTTTGGCTGAGCTTCTACCTCTCTGTAAATCAATTAGCCGAGTTATAAATGAATAACTTACTTCCATCAATTTGACAGCAACAGCTCATCTGACTTAATGAAATCTAACTGAAGATGTTCATATGCTCATCTTCAGAGAATTAAAGCATATGATGATACAGATAAGATAAATAAAGGAGATAATGTGTTGTTCTTCCCATTAGAGCAATGATAACATATATTCAAAAACTGAATTATTTCATCCTTGCTACACATAAGGCTAATGCCATAGAAACCAGATCCTATTCTCACAGCTGCCTGCCCTCTTAAGCAGCTGAAGAAAGCCACACATCACCGTAAAAGCTGAATTTTGACCCCTTCTGCCGGCATCCAGAACTTTAAAGAATGACTGCATCAAATCCCTTTACATAAAGAAATCAATTTCAACATTTTCCTGCAGTTCATCGCTAAAGCTTAGCATGTATCATGACACATAGTGTTTCTGTAAGCCTTGCAGAAAACTGCAGAAATGCATTTTTTGCTACAGATACATTAAAAAAAAAACCCTAGTACCCAATATTTGATGCATACATTTTCTCTTGGGCCATGCACCTATGCAAACTGCATACTCTGAACAAATTGCTCAGCTGCTACAAAGGCAAACCCAAAGTTTTCCTTTCCCATAATAAGTATCTTGTTGCAATCAATTGCTGGCTGCGGTTATTCCTACCTGTCTGCAAAAGTGGTGTGGGTTGAGCACTGATAAATCCTTTTCCTTTTTCTTGGGACTCATCCTAAAAACTGCACACCTGAGAAATTCTAGTGTGACCAAATAAACACGCCAACAATGACAACAATGGAAAACGGACCTATTAAATCTCAAAATCTGCAAACTCCTAGAGCATAGAAGTATTTACACAAAGTCATTTCACGTACCCAGGTTTCCTGAAAACACAGAGACGTGCCATTCCCTTGTGACAATGTGTCTGTATCACAAGTGATGAAGCTACTTCTTAGCACAGACACTCATTTCCAAATCTATTCATTGCCATCCAGAAAAAGCAGGTATGAGTCCCTAGAGCAGTGCTGAGTCACTCCTTCCACCGTGCTTGTGTGCATAATGCAAGGGGCATCCAAAACAACGGTCATTTGACATGTTACCGTTAATATTTTTCAAGTCTGTATCACTATCTCGTGTATTCTTATGACTGACAAGATTGTGAAAAAACAGATGTTGGAGAGGGCGTATTTTCCTGCCTGTTTCATATATGCCAAAGAACAGAAGCAAGGACCTTTGTCTTGAAAGCCTAACAACGACCCTTCTGCAGCATCACTTGGTGTTTCAGTCCTACCTTTCTCAAAGGGAACTGACTGCACAAAAGAACAATAGAATAAGAATGAAAGAAATTTCAGGAAAGAAGTATTTAAGGAGGAAAATTCAGAAGAAATAAGAAGATGCTGGGAAGGGAGTCAATGTGCTGAAACTCCAGTGGTCATAAAAGCAAAAATATTCTCCTGCAGCCTGAGGCTGACCAATATGAAAAAAAAAAAAAAAAGACAGAATGAAAGACTGGACCAGGATTTTTAAAAACAGCCTGTTTCAGAGGCTTGGAGCTGAGCTTCCCTTCCCAGGAAGGACCCACAACTGCAAGCTGTAGTGAGGAGAAGATATTTTCAGGGAAGTCACACACCACGCCAAGGACACTACTGATGAAAGCAAGAGGTAAAACAAACAGGCTGAGACTGAACGTATGACCTCATGATCAGGACGATGTAATGTATCTAAAGCTGACCTTTTGGCTTCCTTTTACTGCTCAACTCTAGAAATAACCCAGGTAGCAGTGCATAATTCAATCGCACTGGCAAGTTTATTCTCCTGCTATGTTATGAGGGCATGGTAGGCACCAACAATAAAGTTAAAGTAAATGTCAGGAGGCCAATGAATTGCTGAAGTGGGCATTTGTTCTGATCTTCCATCAAGCACAATAACTCTAATGGAAGCTAATAGAGGATTGTAAAACCTAATACCATGATGCAAGCAGGCAAACACTCAATGTATGGTCTGGGAACAGCAGGAGAAAGAAAAGAAGCAAGTACCTCATTTACTTCACTAGAGAAACATGAAAGCAGGCCCAGCATTTCCCTATTATCCTCTCTGGCTCAGCTGAAATCTCTCCAGGGGACCTATCACCCTTCTTCCTGAGCAGCTTGGACCCAGCACGTGACACAAGAGGAGATTTTTGGGAGACAAAGTTGTGCTGCAGCTGCTGTGGGATGGGTGCCCAAGGAGGACCCAAGAGCTGGGGACACAGAAGAGCTGAGCAGCAGGGTGCGACCACTCACTGTCCTCATGGCACGGCTGGCTTACTGCTTGCTTTAGCCACCCCTACAGCAGCAAGAAGAGGAGCTGGTTTGGGTTAGAGGAGGAAGGCTCCTTTTTCAGCTTTCAAGAAGAGCTGGAGAAAATCTGCAAGCTTAGGGCAGGGAAGTGTCCTGTCCATAGCAGGGATGTGAGAAAACAGTGCTTGATTTATGGATAAATCAGTCTCAATCTCTAAGTGAAGTGATGACTTCCAAGCCTCTTGCTTGGGCAGGGAAACCAAGCGGCTATCAGTTATTTCGTAAGTAATTTATAATTGTGTTTGCTTTAAGGACCCGAGTGAATGCAAACCACAACACAAGCCTCTAAGCAAGCCTGGCAGAGCTTTCCCCTCAAAAGTGACTCCTGGAAAGTCTTTATGTTTTGTAGCAACTCTTCACAGAGGTTGGGCCACATATCCCAAGATCCCAGTGGACCTGCTGGGCATTTCTGAAAAACCTGGCTCTTCAATTTTAGCCTGCTTTGAAAGCATGTAACAAATTAAATGGGGCTCATCTGTTACGCAAATGATGGCTGGGGTTTCAAATAAAATAAGCTTAACCTTGACGGAGATTTCATCAGCGCAGGCTATTATTTCCCTCTGCTAATGGCTAACGGCCTAGCCATCTTCACTGAGCAGCAAGAGGTCTCTCAGCTGCCTGGGTGAATTATGGCTAGAGTAAGTAATATTAACCCCTCCAGGATAAGTACGTGGGTCATAAAACAAGAGCTGCACAGCTGCTAATGCCAGCAAAGGCAGTCTTTATTAATCAGCTAGCTGAGCGTATGGCAGGAGAGTTGCCGACCCTCCCACGTGGGACAGAAGGACCATGGGCTTTGTAATGCTCGTGCCATGTCACAGCAGCCCCACATTAATCGATGTCTTCCTTGATCCATGGGGAGGGACAAGTATAAATACAGATGAAGTGAGATAGGGATGATCAGGAGTGTGTGCGCAAGCGACTTGCAGGTTGTCGAGCCTCAGTTAAACTGGGGGACAGGGAGGAGAGAGACGAAGAGTCTTGCCTGTAGGGTCACCCCATCCCGTTCATCAGCAAGCACAGGCTCTCTGGAGCGCAGCGTTGCTCCCGCGCAGCAGCACAGTCAGCTCGCAACGCTGGGACTCGCTCTCTCTGGCTAAAGGAGCAAATAAACCCCCACAAACTGCAGTAATAAGGATTCAGCCCACAGACTCTGTGGCGTAAACACACATCTGGTCTCTGTTTGTAATGAAATCAGCTGAAAGCACCACTGTGCATTAATAACAAAAATGTTCAACATATTGCTACCAAATAAGCTCTGCTTGTCTTGAACTTCTATTGTCACATGTTAATGCACTTTTAACACTGATAAATGATGAAGTGCTACAAAACATTCATCAAGGGGCTTATGAGTCAAAAGATACGCATTACTGCGGCATTGTTTTCTATTCCATCGGCTCTTTTACAATTTGGGCAGAAGTTAAAACCAGAAAGTCAGAAGTGCAATGCAAACACTTCACGTTGAGCCCGCCTTTCTTTGGTAAAGACTTCTCAACTACAGAGTTTATCCTGTGCTTGCATGGCATGAGAAAATCCTTGGGGATGCCTGAAAAAGCTTCCTTTTGCAATAAGCCAGTATTTTCCATATGTTTACTGATGTCTTCTTCCTGCTTCCTCCTTTGCTGGCCACAAACAAAAACTGTCATTCACTCTAGCTTAATTCCACTCTCCAGTCTCTCTGCTTTGCCTTTCCCTCACCATTTTGCCTTAATTTCCATTAGACTTTTAGTCTTGCTTTCTCTTTGCAATTCCTGGCTACTATGCATGAATTATCCTTTATGGATAACTGTCGGTCACTTTGGGATCCCTATTGTGAAAACAACCAGGGAGCCCAGGAAGGTCAGTGCATAGACACGGTGTGGTCAGCACAAGGGAAGGGTTTTACCTTCTGAGTGATGTGGTTGATCCAGGGAGAAGAACAGTTACTGAGATCAGGTCCTTGGGGCTCCCAGATTCCATCTGGTGCAAGACACCGGAAAGTTGCAACACCTGGAAGAGGAAAGCCGCCTTGTTTAGTGTTATCGGTTGCATTTTGCCCACAGGATCCCATATCACAATGACAGACACCTCATGCAAAGCCTAGGAGCTTGTTCGTGACTGGGACCTTGGTAGGACGCTTTCGTGTCATCTCAGTGTCTTAGTCTCCCATCATCTTAGTGCTTAAAGGCCCTAAGACATAACAGACCCATGAGGGGGTGTTATCTCCACTTTGCCAGATGGAGACTGCAGACAGAGGGCTTAGCCTTAGGCCAGGCAGGAAAGCTGCCGGGGACTAAGAAATCGAAGTCAGATCTCAAACGTCAAGCTGGCCCCTCCTGTACTCTGCCCCACCCCTCGCACCCTGGGATCAGGCCCTGCTCCTCGACTACCTTGCTGCTTTACAAAGAATTTATTGCTCTGAACTATCACTCAACCACTTGAGTGGGAACACACAGAAGTTTAAATGTTACGAACACCATGATCTAATGTTGAGCCAACCATCAAGAGGGACTTTAGAAGAGAGTTTTGTTCGGCGAGGGCCACCCAGATCCCTGCTGCAAAAGACAGCAAAGCACCTCAGGCCCTTCCATGCAAAGAGAAATGTATCTGAAATGATGCAGTTAAAGATCTTTACAAAGTAAGAAAGCCACTACATGCAGATTAAAGGCTCTGCATCCTATAAAGTGCTCTGCCCTGCAGAGCCAAACTTTTCAGCAGAGGAGTGAATTACAGGCTAGGTCCGATGGCAGTGCTGATTAAAACCAGTGAGAGTTTGCTCATGTCTTCAAAGGGAGTTGGAAGAGGCCCACTGTTAATACACCACAGCTCTTAAAAAGTTGCATGAATCACTGAAGTTGGAGATGGGAAAGGCTTATTGCCATCCCGTATCAACAAGTTGGGTTGGTCTTTTTTTTCTCCTTAGCTATTTTCAGCCAGTCCTCAGCTCTCGTGCTTAGAAAAGGGCTCCCTGCATCTAGCCTTCATTTTCCTTTTCTATCATTTCTTTCCTTTTCACAGCTTCAGTTCAGAATATGTTTTCCCCTTTCTAGGAACCACGTGATACTTCTTGCATTAATTTTACCAACTGGGGCTGGGAAAGACAGCAAAAACCTTCTTTACCTATTCTCACTGCTGACATTTTTCCATGCCCCTCATAATTTAACATATATTTTATCAGTCTGACCTCAACAAATTCAAGAGAGAATTGGTATTCGTATACACAGCTGTGAATGGCTCTCCAGGGCAATGGAGCAGAGAATTAACAGAGTCTCCTCTGCAAGCCAGATTCCTCCAGCCCTTATTTTCAGGCAATTTCCTCCACCTTCTGATTTCTTCTTGGCAAGTGTGTTCTCAGGGGTGGACACTAAGAGTAGCTTGAAAAATAAATACTTTTAGAAAACTGCATTTGTTAAAACACAGTAAACTGGAACATAAGCCAAAACCCATTCTTCATTTGATCGTGTTTTAAGTTGGACAGAAAATTTCCAAAAAGTAAGTTTTTGGAAGTAAACAGTTGCAGGGAGGAGTAGAAGAAAAGGAGCAAAATCAAAAAAACCACACCAACTATAAACTATTTTGAAAGATCTGGCTTTGATTTCTCCCCTGCTTTCCCTGCTGATCATAGTGGAGGCCGGCTGCAGTTTGAAAAATCACTCGGGCCGGTTCAGGAGAGCAATCTGGGAATACCTGTGCTTCAAAATGCAGGCCACAGACTTTGAAATGCAAACTGTGCAGCACAAAGCTGCGAAAGTTTTGTTCCTCTCCACTACTCCCCTGTTCCCCCAAACAAGCAAAGCATCAGCCATCAACATATCAGTCCGTGAGCCCAGGTGCTACAAAAATAAAGGCAAAACCAGTGATAACAGGCCAATCGCACGTAACTTCTGGAGGCAGAGGCTCTTACAGCACCTCAAGCTCAACCCCACAAGGTCATTAGCTCATACTCTCCTTCAGCCAGAGCTTGGGATGACAGAGATTCTGCACAATGTGCTCATTTTTGGTCCCAGCCAGCTGCTTGCCACACCTCACCAAGGCAATGCAGACTGGACAGAAGGCATCAACCACGTGTGCCACACGGGCCCGTGGGCAACCTGGTTGCACACTCATAATGTCCCATGGGCAAATGGAGATGGCCCGCTGTGTCCTCCCACCCCTCAACTCACCTATCGAGCCCATAGGACACGGTTGCTTCGCCATCTGGCCCTGCCGCGTGCGAGACCACATAATATCGCGGGCTTCCACAGGGTCGCAGCTCTCTGCGCCAGCTGGCGGCAGCTGGGAGGAGGCGGGCGGGAGGTGTGTGGTCATTTCATCAGGGACATCAGCCATGGGTGACGGCGTGCTGGTGCTCCTGTTCCTCCTGCCCGAGGCCGAGGTGGTGGTGGGGCGGCCGGTGCTGCTGGTGGCCACCCGTGGCGTGGTGCTGGCAGTGGTGCTCCCCGGGCCCAGAGCCCCTGATGTTGATACTCCTGAAACAAAGGCAGAGCTAATTAAAGAGAGGAAGGAAAAAAGCCTAGGTCCTGAGGACGTCCCCTCTGCTGACTGGAGAGGCCTGTGGGGTGTAGTCGGAGCCACAGCCAACGCAAGGCTTGCTGCACAGCCACCTTTCAGAGAGAGAGAAGCTGAAGCACAAAGCAGTAGAAGCACACAGAGGGGTAATGACCACTGGAGCACAACTGATTTTCCAAAGGCACTAGCATCTGATGAAACTAAAGCTGCACTTTATGCCCTCACCATTTTTCTTCCTGGCATTTTAATGTAAAAATCTTATTTCCCATCTTTCAGGGAACACCTAGCACAGAAGTGCTTTTAATTTTTTAGTGTTGCAGAAGACCCAGCTGGTTTGGACAGAAAAACATTTTCCATGGTGTAATAATGAAATAAAAAAAATACACCACAAATCCATCCCCAAAACAGCAATGCACAGAGGAACGTAGGCAAGGCTGTTCTCCAGAGCAAGCTGTTAACTTTCTCTCAGGTTCATGCCTTGCTGCTTCATCCCAGCAGCAGTGCCTGGCCCCTCGAGCTGCAGCCCACGTGGCAGATGCAAAGCTGCATGTCAGCCCAGCTGAATCATCCAGAGTTTAATGCTCAACAGGCTATTCAATTTAAAACCTGCAATGAGTGGTCGAGCAGAAAGAGGTGGGGAACCTGCTTTTGAAATGTGTTAAGCCATGCTACATCCTGCAATAGCTGTTGTAGGTACTGCCTGTGGTGAATACCGAGGGATGCCCATCTTATATTTCTCCTATTTAGACCAAGGTGCTTGCACAGACTGGAGCTTGACCTGAAATCTCAGGTGGGGAAACTGAGGCAGACTGCCTCCACTTGCTCCTCCAATGCCCTTGCCGTGCCACCTACAGTTTGTCATGAGGCCTGCTTCTCCCATCTTCTTCACCTCTCCCAAAGATAAGCACCTTCTGCTTCTCTCAACATAACACTTTTACTCCAATTAATTGCCAGTTACTCACAGTTGTGCCCTCAGTCTGTGCCAGGGGAAACACTGGGCTGACTGGGAAAGGCAAGTAAGGAGGCCATATGAATGGGCTTGTCTGCTTCTTCTCTGATACCATTCTCTCTTTAATTCCCGTACCACAACATCTTCCCACCATCCCACCTCTTCCAGTATCCAAAAATCCTTCAGAGTCACAGTTGCTCCATATCCAACAATACAAATTGGAGTTTCTAAACTAAAGCCAGCCACGTGTGAACTCCAGCCTAGCCAGAAATTAAAGTCAAGTGTGAGAATCACCTTTTCACCCAAAGCAGCAGCCTCTTAACTACCCAGCTCTGCGAGCAGGCTTAGCTTGCAAGCTCCTGAGAGCAGAGACTGTCCTCTCCTCTATGTACAGTGAAGGAAACCACACTCACTATTTGTACAATATTAGTTATTAATGTATAATGATATCGCTCTCACTGGAATTCACTCAAGTCAACTATTTTCAAGCACAGAAATGCCTGCCTTTAGTGTAAAATGGGAGTTTTTTTCATTCTGAAAGGTTATTTTGTTATTTAAGTAATTTAAACCCACGGTGGTGTAAGCAATTCTCCTGCCCCAGAGTAATCAATAACATAGCAGTCGAAGCACATACTTGCTCTTGTTTTAGGCAATTTTACTCCAGACCTGAGACACCTTCTGCTTAAACTTTAAAACTCAGCAGCATCATAAACATAATTTTTTGAAGGATCAGTATTTTTTAAGAAAAGGTTCAGTTTAAAAATTCCAGTTCTACCATCCCTCAGAAAGCAGGATGATCTTCTCTCTCAGACTCCAAAAAGGCAAGCAATAGCACAACAGGCACTAAGCCACATGAATACCAGATTTTCCAGCCCGCTCATGCCATCTCCCTTCCGCTACAAGTCCCAAGTTTGAACAAACTCCAAAAAATACAATACAAAATCCTACAGACACTGGCAGATTTCTTCAAGTTTCTGCTCAAATTTGTGCTTGACCACCAAGCAATGATTTTCCACCTCATGTTATAGGGAGGATTAAAATTTGTAGAGGACTTGGGCGAATATTATCTGCATTCACTACAGCAGGTCTTGTAATCAGTACATATTTTATTTCTTCATAATAACAATTAGCCCAGCAGATAACAACCTTCAGGGATTTTCCCATTTACTTATGCAATAACGAGTTATTTTCCATTTGCAGAATGACCTATGCCGTGCACTACTGGCGCAGAGGTACCAAGCAGGTATCACAGATGCAGTTTCAAAGCCAAAAGCAGCAAACTCCTCTTAAAATCATTCCTACAGTCATTTGTGAGCAAATAGAAACGTATACTGAATGCCCAGAAGCTCTCCTTGATCCACACTCAGCGGTCCTGCATTTTTAAGCCTAATTTTCATCGACAATCATTGAATATCTCATGGTGTGTTGTTTTTGGAATAGGTCTGGCAGGTTTACTGTAGCAGCTAGGCACAGGGGATTTAATGGCATTTTCCTTTAGTCATAAAAAAATGAGTTGTTTTATCTTTCATAAACTCCTTGGCACTAATGTCAAAATCTCTTTGAGGGCTTGTCCTTCCAACTTTTTTCTTGCTCAGTTGAGCTTTCCTGCTGCTTTTAAAAATAAACACCTCTGCCTCTTACACAGGACAAATTATAAGATATAAAAGGGCTGCCTTGAAGTGGCCTAACGGAGTGAGATGGATGGGGTACCACTGAACTCAGTTCAAAGGTCTGATCATTCAACGAGTCAAGTTGGTAATGAGCTCCAGCGAACATGATCACCATGCTAACACCACCCCATCTCCCCAGCCCCAGGCAGCACCGCTTGCTGATTTTGCTCACACAACAGTGTTCTTTAAAACAAAGTTAATTGGTAAGAAGGGAAAGAACAAGAGATCAAGATCATTTACATATAAATGATTCTCAAATCCAAGCAAAACCATGAAGAGGCTGCAACCTGTGCAAAATTACCTAAATCCTACAGCACAGAACAGAGATCAAACCTCCAGATTAACTCAGGCTGCCAATAAACTGCGAATTTTTAACTTGGGGAAAAGCAGCATTGCAGCACTGCTTTAACACAAGGATTCTTCAGATAAAACTTCATAACATAATCTTTGCTCACAGCCAAGCACTAGCCTTTAAAAATCATCAACACTGTTACAACTAGAAATGTATAATCTTCATTATTTTACTTTGCAGCTTGTTTTTACCATGCATTGCTATATCAAGAGTTTAAAGACTCAGTTTTTAATTCCAGGCTTCAAATCCAAGACTTTGCAGATTTTGATTCCACAAGGCACAGCAGTGGGATAAGTATCTTCACAGGGCTCCCCAGAAACACCCCAAAGTGATACTTCATCTTTTTTCCCAGCTCTATCCAGAGAGCTGGCACTAACAGCAGAAAGACTACGTTTTGCCATCATCCATGCTAGAGCTGCAATCATAAAAAGCCACCAAAACATTTCCAGTCGCCACAGGGGAGTAACCACAACTCCCAGAGGAGCCTCTCTACAGTCAAAGAATCACTGAATCACAGAATTGTTGAGGCTGGAAAAGACCTCTGAGATCATCAAGCCCAGCCTGTGACCAAATATCATCACATCAGCCAGACCAGGGCACTAAGTGCCACATCCAGCCTCTCCTTAAACACCTCCAGGGACGGTGACTCCACCACTTCCCTGGGCAGGGCATCCCAGTGCCTGAGCACCCTCTCCGTGAGGAAGCGTTTCCTGAGATCCAACCTAAACCTCCCCTGACGCAGTTTCAGGCCGTGCCCTCTCGTCCTGTCACTGGTGGCCCGGGAGAAGAGCCCGACTCCCACCTGACTACAAGCTCCCTTCAGGTAGTTGTAGAGAGTGAGAAGGTCCCCCCTGAGTCTCCTCTTCTCCAGGCTAAACACCCCCAGCTCCCTCAGCCTCTCCTCACAGGACTTCCCCTCCAGTCCCTTCCCCAGCCTCGTTGCTCTCCTCGGGATCCGCTCCAGCCCCTCAGTGTCTTTCTTGCAGTGAGGGGCCCAGCCCTGCACACAGGGCTCGAGGGGAGGCCTCACCAGGGCTGAGCACAGGGGCAGAATCACATCCCTGCTCCTGCTGGCCACACTGTTCCTGACACAAGCCAGGATGCCATTGGCCTTCTGGGCCACCTGGGCACACTACTCATAGGGAAAAATCTTAAATATATACAGGTCTCTCTCTTTTTTTTTTTCTCCTTCTTTTTCCCTTTCCTGGTCTAACATGACAAGTACACAACTGCCACCAGGAAAATTCAGCAATTCCATGTACATGTCATCTTATCCATTCTGCTCACCTCTACGTGGTCTACATGGGAGACTGCTTTTCCAGAAGACTCTGAGTAGTGTTTCCCTATCACAAAAGTGGCTTTGGCTGCAAGCATGGCTATTTGTGATCACTTTTTCTTTTTTTTTTTTCCTTTTGGCAACTAAGTAGCCAGCCTTTGACTGGGTGTACTCAACAGCTGAAAATAGTTTTTTAAGAGATGTCATGTGTTTTCTGCCCCAGGAAAGAAGATAACTGGATGCCCCTTGAGGAGAGATTTCAGACAAGATTTCCTAGGTGAGGTTCACTGGCTTTTACTAGGTAACAGACCACAGGAGACATTCATTAAGCTGTCCCACGGGGGTTGCAATCCAAATCCTGATGGCTCTGTGCTATGAGCCAGCACTCACTCACTCCATCAGAAGGGGAGGCTGCACTCCAAATTTCATGCATAAAGTCCAAGCAAACCACGGCGAATTCATTCTCCGGCTTTCCCGGACCTGACGCCTGCTCCTTGCACTGCAGCTGGTACAATGCTCAAGCAACTGAAGCACAACTAATCTGAGGGGTTCAATATCTTCATGAGGATGCAGCAATCCAAGCGCCGCCTTGAGCACGTCCAGGCTGCGCTCACAATTATTTACGCACATCGCTAAGTCGTGCTAAGACAAGCGGAGCGTTGCTGGTTCCTGAAAAGCTGTAAGAAACACAAAACCTGAAGGTCCCTCCCTCC